CAAATTTATGAAAGCTTTTAATTAACAAAAGACGTCATCAAGAAATTAAAGATCCTGTATGTTGTAATTGAGGTTGTATACCACACTTAAGTGAAATTATATATATGTATATAATTATGCATATAAAACAATTTTCAAACATCGAAGAATATGTAAAATATGTACTGCAAATATTTGTTCATATTATATGTAATCAATAAAATATATGCATTCATTTCTTATTGAAAAAATTGACTTAGACTTGATAGAAAATAAATTTCTAATTACCTCCCTTTATTTACATGAAATGTTAAATTCGATAATATCTTTATAAATAATGCTTTTTGGTACTTACAAAATTGATAAACCTTAATTTGAGCATCTTATTTATGATATAAAACCATAAAAATATTGTGTAATTGTGTGATCTTTAATCAAAGCATTTAATTAACAAAAGACGTCATCAAGAACACGTGTGGCATCAACAAGTTTAGTTTTAATCACAGTATGGTTTTCTGTAGGTACAAGTTGCGTAGGTTTCTAAACGGGAAATATTAAAAATTGTTAGCTTTAAACCTAATGAATTCTGATCATTGGTACAGGTTGTGTAATAATCTTATTTTCGCTGCATAATTATTAAGTGAACGATATAGGTCAACGAATAAGAGAGATATGTCTGTCACGTTATACGCATTAGTATTCTTAACAGATAATGTTTCTTTATATATCATGTATATATAGCAGACCACTACAATGAATTTTTTGCATCTTAGCTAAAATCCGAGCAACTTATGTAGCTGTTAAATCTGATCAAAACAAAGTGTATCAAAAAAGTAAATACATTCTTAAGAAATTAGCCGTTTGCTATAAAAAAACAAACAAACAAATAAAACAACATCTTATTTGATATGAAATAGAAACATATTGCAAACAAATGAGCCGCGTCACGACAAAACCAACATAGTGTGTTTGCGACCAGCATGGATCCAGACCAGCATGCGCATCCGCGCAGTCTGATCAGGATCCATGCTGTTCGCTATCAGTTTCTCTACCTGTAATAGGGTTAGTAAGCGAACAGCATGGATCCTGATCAGACTGTGCGGATGCGCAGGCTGGTCTGGATCCATGCTGGTCGCAAACGCACTATGTTAGTTTTGTCGTGACGCGGCTCAAATAACATCACGTTGATATAATTGTTTTGAAGAAGTTGAAAATTTCCGTTTATATTAAAATAATATATGCCCAACAATATATTTCGCTAAAAAATGCAATTCAGTTAGCCTTAATATGATGAATAAATTTTAGTTTATGCGCGGAACGTGATTTTAATGGTCTAATCCGTATAAGTAAGTCAGGAACGAGCAATTTGTTGTCGCTTCGAAATAGAATTACCGTGACTAAAATATCAGAGTTAACATTTCTGATGCATATTTTTAATAATTGATGTCAAAAGTGAACGCTAGCACGGAATCATATTCATTACATTTTCAAACTTTGCTATACTTATATGAAGACTTTAGGCTCCCCGTTGTGCATTAATTTGGATACCAGCTAAGACCTGAGAAAAATACCACTTGATAACTTTTTATGTAAAATAAACCAAAGTCATTGATAAGGGCAAAGTCAAAAATACAACGTAAGATGTAAAAAGGATTGCCGTTATTTGGTGCCATTTTTGGAAAGTCCGCCTAATTTTAGTGAAAAAAATCTTCTTGCACATTTTGTTCTGACCTAGTTGTGTTTTCCAGGATAGTGCAAGATAATACTGTTCTTTAGAGTTAATAAATGGTTTGACCAAAATACATTTTCTTATTTTGGTGCAGTTTTTGGAACAGCCTACTCCAGGAAATGACAGATGCAAAAACTCAGCCATATTTGTTTAGGTTAAAAGTGAAAGAACATAATAAGTAGCATCGAATTTTATTTTTAATTTTCTGTATGTTGGTGTTATAAACATTCCGATATTCACCCCTTGTTTATATACAACTTCCAGTTTCCCAAATGATAAGTTTATTTGATAGTATAATATTGTTTTACCAACATTAAATTATGCTGCAGAATTGTGGGGACATTACGCTGGTCCGAACATAGAAATATACATACAAAGTTTTGTAGAAGATTGTTATGTGTGAAACAATCAACCAATGTAGATGTGTTATAGGTGAACTTGGTCGTACACCAATGTCCATTCATAGAAAACTAATATTGATCAAATACTGGTTAAAACTTCTTAAACTTAATGAACGAACTATATTGTATAAAAATTTATATTATGTTAAAAACAGATGCCGACAATGGTGTAACTTATAGTGGTAAAAACTGGGCATATACTGTTCAGAATATTTTAGAGCAGACTGGCTTGTTTTATATGTTGGAAAATCAGTTTACTATACATATAGATTTTAGTATTATTAAACAACGAATTTTAGACATATTCTATCAAAGTTGGTATTCCTCAATTAATAACTCGTCTAGATTAGATACATATTGTTTATTTAAACATTCATTCGAATTTGAAAACTATTTGGATTTTATCGTTGAACCGAAATTTAGGGTAGCTTTATCCAAATTTCGTTCATCTTCTCATAATTTGGCTATTGAACGTGGACGGCATAGAAATATACCAAGAAATGAAAGATTGTGTAGTAATTGTAATGCCGGTCTTATAGAAAATGAGTATCATTTTGTATTAATATGTTCTAAATTCCAGGACTTAAGATCAAAATATATAGAGATATTATTATACCTGGCCAACTAAACAGAAATTTGTTAATCTCATATGTGCAAAATCAAAAGCAATAATTAATAATCTAGCAAAATATAATTAATATATATACTATGCAAACTTGCAAAATAACTAGTCATCTTTAATGCAGATACATATATTATATTATTATGCTCTTCTGTAAATCATGTCTTTGTATAAAAATTGTATTGCTATGGAACATGTTGTTTTAATGCAATAAAATATTTGTAGTTGTAGTTATATACAGTGATTGTTTGTTTCATTTTTACTGTTCGTTATGCATGCCTGGTAGATTTACAATCTAGCTTAATGTGTTGTAGTTGCTCATATTTAGGGTTTCTAGGAATAGCATTTCATCTATTGTATGTATGTATGTATGTATGTATGTTTATAGTTAAATATGAGATATGTTAAATACCAATACTTTGATTACTTTTATAAGAATTTGAACTCAGAATAATTTATATGGTGCAATTTAATTCAGATCATCTGTTATAATATAATTATCTCAATGGAAATACGGATATTATCCTTATATCGGTTTTTGCGTTATCGTTTCTACATAACGTTGATGACATGACTATAGTATTATATACTTTACTTTATTGTTCTATATGTTTTCATATTTTTCCATGTTTGCTTTACTTGTACTTACATCATATCGTGGGCATACCGGCTATTTATAATATTTAAAACACTTCCCATACACTTGGCTTGTTTTCATTTTCGCCCAAAACCGGTAATAATGACGCATTGAGAATGATTCTCACACTTTCGTTGATACCTTTCATGCGTTAATGAAATTGGTTTTACTTTTTAGCTCGACTATTCGATAAGAATAAGTAGAGCTATTGTAGTCACCTGAGCGTCGGCGTCGGCGTAACCACTTATGTTAAAGTTTTTTTAATAGTTCAAATATTTTCAAAGTCCATTGACATATGGCTTTGAAACTTTGCACACTTGTTCACCATCATGACCCCAACCTGTAGACAGGAGGAGGTAACTCTATCAAGCATTTTGACAGAATTATGCCCCTTTTTCGACTTAGAATTTACGTTAAAGTTTTTGTAATAGTTCAAATATTTTCAAAGTCCATTGTCCATTGACATATGGCTTTGAAACTTTGCACACTTGTTCACCATCATGACCCCAACCTGTAAACAGGAGGAGGTAACTGTATCAAGCATTTTTTTTTACTATCAAGCACTAAGAATAGTCGAGCGTTGCTGTCCTACCGACAGCTCTTGTTTCAATGGCAGTACATAACGACAACGACACTGAAATCTCATGATAGCGACGAAGGAAAGCTTATAAGGCATGTAAGGAGAACAACACCATACATAAAGTCTCGTTACCGCCGTAAACAGTTACCCTCGAGCTAGATATTCCGGTGTGTACCGGCAGCCAGTGTAAGACTTATATTCTTGCATATCGGACAGGAATATCTACTGTTTACACCGGTGCGTGAAAAATCTATCTTACACCCCCTTGTTAGACAAATCGCGTGCTTAAAATAAGGTCATTCCCGCGCACCATTTATGAACGAGTTGTGTTCTTAGAATGACGTCATTTTTCCATTCATACTATAAGAACAAGAGCTGTCAGTAGGACAGAACGCTCGACTATTTCTAGTGCTTTGTGGGACAGAAAGATTTATTAGTCTCAGGTGCTTCATAGTAAGAGAGCCTTGATAATGTAAAATTGTCTAAGTTCACAAAAGGTCCATTTTTTTTCCAAATCCATGTAACAGTTATAGGCGTTGGAGAGAGTCCTATTATACCCTCAATATAAAATTTAAACTTGTTTCAAAGCCAGATGTCAATGAAATATAAAAATATCTGAGGTGGTACGCAAATTTTAATATAAATTCAAAGATGAATAATTGGCATTATTCTGTCAAAATGCTTGCTATAGTTACCTTCTCCTGTCTACAGTTTGCAGGCATGATGATGAACAAGTGTGCAAAGTTCTAAAACCATATGTCAATGGACTTTTTTTTGGAAAATATTTGAGGTGGTACGCAAACTTTAACGTAAATTCAAAATAAAAAAACGCAAACTTTAACACTAGTGGTTACGCCAACGCCATCGCTCGGGTGACTAGGATAGCTCTTACTATTCTTATCGAATAGTCGAGCTAAAAAGTGCTATATGTCATAGGCAAGAAAATGAATCAAACACCGACTGTCGCCACAGAAAACGCATTTCACTAAATGACATTCTGTGTCACTAAACCATAAAAATTCTCATGCAAAAAAAAACCAAACTCATTTCAGTCAGAAGTAAACACATTTTTGTATATTTTTCATATATAAAAGATCCGAAATAAAAGTATGTATATTATACATAGTACAATTAATTCAAACTGTCAAAGTATGTATCTTAAAACAGTTTGAGATATACATAACTTACAACGTTCATAAGACTAACTTTCATAATACCAAAAAAACTTTAAGAATGAAAATCTAGAAAAATAAACTGATGGGGAAGCATACACGTGATGTGACAAGAAAAGTGAAGAAACAGATGTTGATTTTTTACATGTTTGTCTCCTATCCAATCTGGATAGTGTGACCATTCTTTAACATAATAAATGTCACCCTACTCTTTTTAAGTATCACACATTCTATAAACTATAATCAATTTACAACAGTCTGTCTGTTATATCAACTTAAATTTAATAACAGTTTTGAAGTTAGTAATTATCTAACATTCAACCGGCAGCGCTTTTTGAACTGATATAACAAAGGCCTATAAAAAAAGTCCTCTTGACATTTCATTTTTCCTTAAAATCATGCAAATTTCTCAAAATATTCCTTTCTGACATAAGGTTAATATTTTCCAAAACTAGCAATTTTAGCGACATTTTTTTCTCCAAATATGAAGAGCCTAAGGCCTCTTCCCAATAAAAAGAGAACACCCAATGGCTGGCCTGTTCAATGAGAATGCAAAAGAAAAATTGTCTCTATCTGTAAATAACATGCTTTACTACAAAATCAAAATTACATAATATACATAACATAAAACATTATGATTAAATAAAATATAATTAAAGATATGCCAAGAACATTTTTAATAGGAATATGTGATACATTCCATATTGTTACATTTGACGGATGCTAAAACACTTGACACGTTTACCTGTCAATAACAAATTCATTTAGCATTAAATGTATTTACAACATTTCTGTGAAAATGCAAACTATAGATATATCCATATGACACAAATGCCCGGATATATTCCACTGTTTTGTCAGTATATAGATGCACAGCTTGTTGGGCAGACGGATGCACAAGAGCAAGTCTATATGTCCCACTCAATAAGAAGTGTTGGCATAAAAATGCTACAAAATATCTCTACCAATGTGTTTAATATATGAATAAAATATTTCAGGTTACAAATAATTCTTTGTTAAAACAATTTATCACACTAATTTTTGAGATACCTATACATCATAAACTTGTCACAATGACATTATGTTTGTTTCCATCAAAATAAGATTGAAGACTTAAATGTATAACAAGCAAATCAATCAAGACTAGAGATTATGATAAAAGACTTGTTTGATTCTTCACCAAAATGAAATACATTGAAAAGATATATATATATATCTAATGAAGGATACTTAATACACTGTCAATACACTGAAACAAGGGCAATAACTCTTTACTTTGTACAAACTAAAAATGATATATATAGTTTTTGCAAGTATCATTAACACTAGATGGAAAAACACTTTACAGATTTAATGACTGGTTTATAAACAAGAAGATAAAACCAGAAGTCTCTAATAAAAATATTATCATTACAAAAATTTGATCAAACATTTACAATCCAAATTATTCACAAAATTTAGACATACAAATGACAATAGATCTACCAGCAATGAATACTAATTGTTTTACAGTGCTGTTGTCCAGAAGATACACGTGCATAAACAGAAAAGCTTCAATACCACAAATAAATACACAGACATGTATATATATCACAGATTTTAGCTATCTTTTCCGGTTGTTAAAAGCTTTAAAGCCTTGGTAAGATTGTCTATGGCCGTACTTGAATCTTCGTATTGTAATGCGCTACTTGCATATTTACAATATTTCATAGCCTTTTGATACTGTTGTGCATCTAGTGAAACTCCACCTGCAAATATCAATCAAACTGAATGTTACACCTCTTCATACAGTATAATTTGTTGCTACAATTACTGTATCTTGTAAATGTACAAGGTTATAAGTCTTGTTGAAAATTTGGTTTTCAATAACATTATATTATATAGAGGATATTTGTTTAATTCAGTGTAAGATCGGGATATATTTCACAGCCACAAGTGAAATATGAACTTTTGGTGTTCACGAGGTGAAATATATTTCCATCTTACACTAAACTAAACAAATTTTCTTTTTATTACATGCAAAGAAATGTTTAAATTTTAATACTTTATGAAAAGCGTGCCAAATAATAATATAATGCGACGTCATTTACGACGTCACACCATTAGGTTGGTTTCCAGTACTGTGCATGCTGGTATTTCACTGAAAAAACATAATTTCACTGCTTCAAACAGTGAAGTATCAGTTTTTTTTTATTTCACTGATAATTTTTTTATAAACCATGTAATAAAAGCATGTAATAAATGTTAAATACCACTGGTCAACCCAAATTGAGAATTCAAAAATACAGGCTACTATTAGCAAAAACTCCAAAGCACTTAAATCTTTAAAAAGTGGAAATAGTGCTATGTATCTGGCTTGTTTGATTACAATCTAGTCAGAAGAGTTGTATATTTTCTAACACATTTATTTCATTTGTTTTTTTTGGTTGGGTTTTACAATGCAAAAACACAGTGTAAGTGATACATGTATGGCGACTTTCCAGCTTTACTGGTGGACCAAACAGCGCCCAAGTAGAACCACCAACGTTGGACAGCTCCTCATATGAAAGAACCCATAGACCCTGGCATGGTTCCAACCTACAGAGGTGATATGCAAGGGGTTTGAAGTCAACAACCTTAACCACTCAGACAGGGACATTCCTTGAACACATTTTTCTTTGCTTCAATAAAGGCCAATGTAATGAATTTGGAGAACATATTTGTATCAAAGTAATACAGTAAAATATCAATACATAAATGAATAGTTCACTGCTTTGCATAGGTTATGCACTTAATTAACAAACTTGCGTTAAACAGCTCTCTATCTATATAAATGAGCCGCGTCATGAAAAAACCAACGTAATGGGTTTGCGACTAGCATGGATCCAGACCAGCCTGCGCATCCTCGCAGTCTGATCAGGATCCATACTGTTCGCTTACAAACCATATAACAAGTAGAGAAACTGATAGCGAACAGCATGGATCCTGATCAGACTGCGCAGATGCGCAGGCTGGTCTGGATCTATGCTGGTCGCAAACCCATTATGTTGGTTTTGTCATGACACGGCTCATATATTGTTTCTATTACAATTATAAACTGTAAACTTGCTATCAAACAGACCTACAGTGTTGGGGTCAAAAGGTTAAAAAAAATCCTATAAACATGTATAATTAAATTTTTTGATATACAAAAAAAAATAATAATACAAACTTGAGTTTGTTGGTGGTTTCCAGTCAGTGTTAAACGATGCTTGTTGTGGTGCTGGTCTTGTTGCATTCTGGGGATCCTGTGGCGTAGAGGGTGGTGCGTGAGTCCCAGTAGGTGCACCGTTAGGTGATGTGTTATTTCCAGGCAGATTCAGAGAATTTGATGCCGATGGCCCAGGTTGGTAGGATGTTGTCGGGCCAGGTTGGTATGATGACGGGTCTGGAGGAGGGGCATAACCTTGAGAAGGTCCAGGTTGTTCAAATCCTATTGCACCTCCAGGTTGTACTCCACCAGCTAAAATAATATAATTATAATTTATTACTATTTTTTTGGTTGAAAGGAAAGTGTCTGAACCACTTCACAAATAATTGTTTCAATGAATTTTATATATTATTTTAAGGTATGAGCCCCATAATGGGCACTATAAGGAACTATAAAATTGACAACATAGGTCAGTTATATACCTTAAAAGACACAAGAATGCAAAATTTAAACAAAATTTACTGTATGGTTTACGACTTATGGAGGTTTTTCTGAAGTTAAACTTGGCTATTAGAAGGGCTCTTTTTCAGAAATGAGAAACTCTAAATATTCTATCTTATAATCATTATGAAAAAAATGTTTTCCTATAGAAAATTTTAAGAAACAAATAATAGCATTCAGCTAACAAATGACCCAGCAAAATTATTGTTTCGACTCAAAATGTTTGAAATATATATATAAATATTACCCTACCCCACCCATTTTAAGTAGTTTTTTGATCATTTTTCTACTTGGAGGGCCTCATTCAAATAATCCCTAAAATTTACTCAAATTAGGGGCTGTTTTCAAAGTTTGCATAAATTTTCTTAAAAGTATATTGGTTGCACTTGTCAAATATAAAAAAACTTTTACAGTCTAGTTTTTATTTTATTAGACTTTGAAAATATCAGGTACCATATTTGATAATAAATTTGGCACAATTTAGCCAATACTGTATAAGTGGTTTTTTCTGCGGTGACTTTATTTCTGCGTATTCTGCTGTCAATTTCAGCACCGCAGAAATAAAAACAGCAGAATATTTCTCCAAGTTTTGTTTTTGGCTTGCAGCCACGGCTGCAAGCCATTTGTTTTGAATAACTTGTTCCGGTAAGGTGGTTTCCTGTTTCCAATTGTTAGTGCATGATTGAACGGGAAACCAGCTGCAATCGTGCCAATCGCAACTTTTCGGCCTTTTCCATCACTCTTCGGATAAATGATAATAGCCGATGTAGTTCCGATTGCAATCATGACAATTCGGGCGATTCCGTCATACTGCGGAATCAGACGAAGTAATATTACGGAAATCTAAGCTATTTTAGTTACTTCGGTAATCCCAGTTTGTTGATATAAATAGGATTTCTATTTTTACTTGATTTATTGGTTTAAACCATAATAAATTATAAACGAAATTGTTCCGTTTCAATTGTTTTTCAAGACGCAAAAGTTAGTTTCTTTTATAATTGTTTTTGTCTGTATTAGTTTTATACAATAGAGAATGGTGAATTTAGTAGTATTCTGTCTTCAAAGGGTGGTCCTGCATGCTTACCAAATCACGCATGATCGAGTTATATTTAGATCTACTGAACGCAATTCAATGGTGAGGTAATCTAAAAATAGCCCATGCATATCATTAACTTTGCCACGTGCTGATCTACAGATAGCGCATCGTATTTGTGATCTTGTAATATAGTTGATACATGCTTATTAATTGGTACCACGTAACGAAGTATTTTAGTGCATTTACTTGTCTATAAAGCAAACGAATGATTTCTCTGCGAAAAAGGGGAAATGAAATGTGCACACTTGTTTCCCTTCAGTATGAGTTAGTATTTTTACAATTGATCATTTTCTTTATTAGTTTTATACAATAGAGAATAGATTTCAAATCGTTTTGACAAAAAATATTCGTTTTTCCAAAAAAAACAAAACAACTAAATAAACCCTTTATGATATACAAATACCGTAAACCAAAAAAAAAAACAATTTTAAAGGGTTGGGATGAAGGCACAACTGTGCAAGCCTTTCCTTTTAAAAGGAAACTTTATTTAACCTGTTACGATATGTGTTCTACATTATGACCTGTTTCGTCTAAAGTAATAATGACTAACTGATTATACAGTTGGCGGGTCATCGAGTTTTGTAAAATTGCCGTCAGCTATGTATGTATCTGTGCTTATACGGATGTACTTATTGTTAATTATGCCAATTTGTGAATATTTTTTTTAAACATCATACATGAATAAGGTGTTTGCCAGGACGCCGAAAGGTTTGTTTACCACTAAATCATTCAAACCATTTTAACCCTTATACTGCTGAATAATCGTCGTATATTTTAATTGTTGTCTGATTTATTTTAAATTTATATCAATTTTCTAAAATTAATGCAACTACCAGGATATATTTTTCACACGTCATTTCACGCTGATGCATACTTTTCTATTGTTTGTAATTACTGTAAAATTTTTGTGTGATGACGATAAACAAATGCGAATGTATACAATGCAAATACAATAGGAAGAGTAATGAGACTTAGACCGTGATAATATGAGTCGCAGAATTTTAAACACGTTTTGTTAAAAAAATGTGCCGCAGAAATAAATTCCACAGAAATAAAAACATGCCAAAATTTGGAAAAAACGCAGAATTTGGAGCCCGCAGAAAAAACCACTTATACGGTAAATACCAATAATAATTTCATAATTAAAATTTTAAACTTTTTTCTTCTCAAAAGTGATCTGAGAGACACAAATAATGTTCAAAGAAAAAAAAAAATAAAGAAAAAAAAAGTTGCCTCTTCTGGGGCTCGAACCCACGCCCCTCAGTTACAATGCAGTTGACAGTAGTTCTAGCCTATTTGAATACTTTTCAAAGTGGAGGTAATGCATTAGGTGGATCATACCTTAATAGCACCAGAACCTTTGAAACAAGAGCACTGTAAAGGCAGGACAATATATGTCCAAATGTAAATTTGTTTGAGTAATCAAAATTAATCTTTCATCTATCAAGTTTTATCTTAAGTATTCTTATGATACTATATGGCCTCCAAGGAAGAGGCATTTTTTACCCTAAGTGCACAATTCATAAAACTTTTATTGAGGTCAACTGGGCAATGCTACATGCCAAATATAGAGGCATAATAATTATCCACAAAAAGATGTGTTTTCCTATATCTTAGTGACTCCAAGGGCAGAGCAAATTTTGACCTCATAGTTAATATAACTATTGTAGAAATCTACAAATTGATGCTACATGCCAAATTAATTGGGCTTTGTAATTTCACACAATACGACTTAGATCTGTTTTCTTATATCAATCAAGTGACCCTGGGGCGTAACATTATATGCCAAAAATGTTTTGGGCATATAAAAATACTGCAGAGTCATATATGTAGAATAATGTCACTTGGTTACATCCAAGGTCATCCAATATAAAAATCCAATATTAAATGTAAGTTTGACAGACTAATGTGCACAATTGGATAAAATTTTAAAATGAAAGATAAAAATCTGAAAAGAATGTCACCTCAGGATTATTATCATTGCTAAAGGCCAAAGTTCAATGATATATACAAAACTGATGCTACAGTTTAAATTTGATAATAACTAACAAATTAAACAAGATGGCCATGATGGCCTGAAATCCCTCACCTGTATATAGGCCCCTGGGCCAAGGCCAATTTTAAACCAGGGACTTTTGTTTGAACAAACTTGGTAGACACCCATTAGAAAACGTTTCATCATAAATATCTAAGTTCTACCTTTTTTGGGGTTTTATAAGAAGATTTTTTAAGTTTTTACTATATACATATAGGGAAAAACAATGACCCCCCTGGAGGGGCCAATTTTGACCCCATGACTTTTATTTGCAGAAACTTGGACAACACTCACTAGAAGATATTTCATGCTAACTCTAGCTCTTTGGGTTTTTTTATAAAAAGATTTTTTAAGTTTTTACTATACACATATAAGGAAAATCAATGACCACCCCCAGGGCGAGGCCAATTTTAACCCAAGGGCCCTTATTAGAACGAACTTGGTAGACAACCATTAGAAGATGTTTCATGCTCAATATCTTAGCTCTAGTTCTTTTGGGTTTTTAAAAGAAGATTGGTTTTTAAAAGAAGATATTTTAAAGTTTTTACTATATACATAAAGGGAAAAAAAAATGACCCCCTTGGACGGGGCCAATTTTTACCCAAGGGCTTTCATTTGAAAAAACTTGGTAGACACCCCCTGGAAGATGTTTCATGCTTAATATCTAAGCTCTAGCTATTTTGGTTTTCTAGAAGATGATTTTTTTAGTTTTTACTATATACAAATAAGGAAAATGAATGACCAACCCCCCCCCCCCTGGACGAATTTTGACCCCAGGGCATTTATTTGAACAAACTTGGCAGACACTGACTAGATGATGTTTCATGCCAAAAAATTTTGGATGAGCTAAAAAGAGGTCAACAGATGAAGTTCAAGGATATAAAATGTAAAAGATATTTCACACACAAGACTCTCAATGTGATCTAAATTTCCAGGCTACGGCTTGAACAATATTAAACAACACTAAAGATTAAGATTATAAGAATCTTACACCGGCTGCAGGTACAGACCGGAATATCTAGCTCGAGGGTAACTGTTTACAGCAGTAACAAGGCTCTGCCGAGTTTCCACTAAACAGTTACCCGAGAGCTAGATATTCCCGTCTGTACCAACAGCAGGTGTTTGATTCATTTTATTGCATAATACATGTCAATTTTTTTCGGAACAGAAATTATGAAAACTGATATTCTCATTACGCACTATTTTCTTATAGTAGCGTATGAACATAAAACTTCATTCCTAACGAAAAAATGACGTCATCCTAAGAACGCGATTCATTCATAAAAGTCAATGTGTCGATGACGTCATTTAAAGCACGCGACTTGTCTTACATGGGGGCTGTAAGACAGAGTTTTCTAGCACCGGTGTAAACGGTAGATAATCCTGTCTGAGATGCAAGAATTAGAGTTATTACACATGATGTTTGGTGAACACTGCAGATATTTTTTTATTGAATCTGACAAACAACTAAAACCTCTGCACAAAACCTAATTACTGTAAACAATATTCAGTTTAAAGAACTAAGTTTCGGAATCCACATTTCTAAAATATAGAATTATAATTATAACCATAAGAATCCACCTGCTGAACACAATAGGGAGAACATCAGTTTAGTAATGCAGTGGTTGCTGGTTCAATCCTTAAGTGAGGCAAAATTTGTTTGTGACCATGTATAGAAGGGATGCAGGACCCTGCATTCATATACCCCTAAAATACCTAAAATGAGGATGCACAGTCCTTTCCTGCCTACATTCAAATGATGTAGAAACTGTATCTACCACTGAGATATGATGTGTGTTAAATAGGCATAACAAGAGCCCGGTTTGAGCCGGGTGATGCTCCCCGAATAGGTTTTGGACACAGAAAGTACACCTCTTGTAGTTTCAGAGTTATGTCCCTGGAAAAAGTTCAAAGTGCAATAATTCCAAAATGAGGCAAGGCAGAGTTACTGTTCTTTGCACTGCACTTCTAATCAATGTGATCTATCAACCTACAAAAGTTCTTGATGATATCTCTTATGATTTCTGAGTTATGTCCCGGACAATTTCAAAATGTAAAAATAAACAAAGGACAATAACTCCAGAATTAGGCAAGGCAGAGTTATGATTCTTGTGCACTGCACATCTACCTATTGAGATATATCTACCTACAAAGTTTCATGTTGATATCTCTTATAGTTTTACAGCTATGTCCAGGACAAGATTTTTCTAAAAGGGGAGATAATTCAAAAATGAGGCTTAACAGAGTTATGGTTCTTTTGCACTGCACATCTACTCAATGAGATCTATCTACCTACAATGTTTCATCTTGATATCTCTTATAGTTTTAGAGTTATGTTCCAGACAAAGTTCAAAGTGTTAAAATAAACAAAGGGCAATAACTCCAAAATTAGGACAGAAAGAGTTATTGTTCTTATGCACTACACATCTACCCATTGAGATCTATTCACCTACAAAGTTTCATGTTGATATCTCTTATAGTTTTAAAGTTATGCCCCGGACAAGATTTTTCTATAAGGGGAGATAATTCAAAAACTGGGCAAAATAGAGTTATGGTTCTTTGACACTGCACTACCCCTCAATGCCCTCTACCAATGTATGAAGTTTCAACAAATTATCTCCAAGGGTTTTCAAGTTATGCTCCGGACAAGACAACGGACGGACGGACGGAAGGACGGACAAGGCGCCGACTATATGCTCCCCCGAAATTTTTCGGGGAGCATAAAAACAGAAAACAGAAAAAAAATTATGTAAACAATCAAACCCTAATGCTTATTCTCATTGGGTGACAGTATCTGTATATTTCTGCACACATCTTATTGTACATACCTTCATCACCATCCTCATTTTGAGGTCCTGGTATTGGGGTCTCTCCATTCTTTAAACATTTATGTATATAAGCTGCCTTCCACTTGGCATACTTCCTATTTTTGTCAATCTACAAATATCAAAGTAAAATCAATTGAAATAATATTTGTTGGTATCTTTTTTCAATATATAAAGGAAAGTGGGCAATGATGGCCTGGCATTACTCAACAGAGTTTAAAGCAAGACTTACAGTATATTCTATATACATATTTAATAATGTATAGGTAAACACAACATCAAATTATTTGATGATTTTCTTTTAAACAAATCAAAATCACTATATCATTAATGGTAGACAATCACCTAAAAATCATTCCTTTTAAATCATAACAAAATTTAATGGCTGATTTCTGAGAATGTTATTAATAGTGAAATACTATCCATGTTTAGTGATGGCAAATAACCCTTAAATTTATTGGAAGTAAAGAAGAAAACAAGCAGCCAACAGTCAAATAAGAAAAATATTATTAAATTATACATACATCTTCATTTAATTCTCCAAACACAGACATTGTGTCAAACAACATGCCTGCTGTATAGAATGATTTTACAACATTCCTGTAAGTATAAAAATAAAGAGATTTATTATTCATTTACATAAATGACTTGATACTTAGATTGTAAAATAAAATGTTAAATGAATTATGAAACTAGTAGGTAGTTTATAGCATTTAGATTAAAGTTTTCTGCAATAGAAGTACTTCTCTGTGTTATTTACTGATGACCTTAATCACATGGAAAACAAGAAACATGGCAATGCCACGAAACCAGGTTTTCAATTATCACCATTGTAGATAAATATGTTGAATTTGAAATACAAATACAAGCAACAAACAATTTAACTATGTGCAATGTAAATCATGAATAGTGTAGGAAGAATTGCCACAGAAGAAGTGTTCACTATATATTCTGTATAAGGAAAAAAAACAAAGGGCCATAATTAAGTCAAATATTAACTAATCACAAAACCCCGACAATATGCGCCAGGGCACTTGATTACAAAGCTTCTGTGAAAGTTTGGTCAAAATCCGTTGAGAAATGTAGGAGAAGTTGCACATGGTAAAAATTGTTCACTATATAATCTGTATAAGGAAAAAAAAACAAAGGGCCATAATTAGGTCAAACATTATACAATCACAAAACCCTGACAATATGCCCCAAGGCACTTGATGACAAAGCCTCTGTGAAAGTTTGATCAAATTCTGTAGAAAAATGTAGGAGGAGTTGCGCACAGAAGAAATTGTTCACTATATATTCTATATAAGGAAAAAAAACAAGGGGCCATAATAAGGTCAAATATTATCCAATCACAAAACCCCCACAATATGCGCCAGGGCACTTGATGACAAAGCTTCTGTGAAAGTTTGGTCAAAATCCGTTGAGAAATGTAGGAGGAGTTGCGCACAGAAGAAATTGTTTAAGCCCGAACACCCGCCCGCCGTCCGTCCATCCACCCGCCCGCCGACATACCTCAATCTAATAACCAGTTTTTTCCTTCGGAAAACCTGGTTAAAAACCTGGTTAATAATTAAATCAATCAACATCAATGACTCCAGCAAATCAATAGCTGTTAGTAGGACAACATGCTTGTCTATTAGTAAAAAAAAAAAGAGTCTGATTAATGTCAAAAAAAACAACAATAAACATGTATACTACAAGACTATAAAAGTTATGAATCTTGTAATTTATTAACAGCAATATTTCATCCAAAATCCATGCCAGACAACATATGAGATATGGTTCTTGGAGAGTGACCATCAATCATAACTCTGAAAGCCTGGACTAAGTTTCAAGTGAAGACCATTAATAGTTTGAGTTAAAATTAAATGTTGCACACAAAACTGAATCCAAGAATATTCGAAGTACAAAGTGCCATAATTCCTGTAAAATCCATGTCAGACTTTTATTGGCCTTGAACTGTGACCTCCTTTTATGATCTTCAAGACATGTATTCAGTTTAAAGTGAATAACTTCAGTATTATAAAAGATTTATGTTGCATACTTTAAAGTGACAATATGCTCATATTTTCATTGTCAAGTTGAGCTGAATTGACTTTATATTTCAAAAGACTGACTGTCAAAATGGTGTTTGACCAAAAGTTGATATTGGAAAATGTTTAGGATAAAATTATAAATTTGACCTAAATTTAAAAAGACTGCCCCACTCTTTTTATAAACTAAGAGTTATAGATAAGTCCTAATGGATATTTACAGAAATATCATTTCGATTTGTGTGTTATTCATTGTTTATGCGAATTTAATTATTAAATTTAAAGGATTTTTGGCAAAATGAAAACTTATTTTGATCTTCAACCGTTCACTCACTTTATACCCTTGGATGGGAATAATGTCACTTTAACTGTAATTTTCTAAAATCACAAAGTATAATTTTATGCCAAAGTTAGGGGCCTAGGATTGTAAGCGACAACAAGTAATGATACCTAAGTCAAGTTTAGTGACCTCCTATTATAATCCTCATGACAGGATGAATTTTAAAGTAAATACATGGACCTTCAGAACTTTTAAAGATTGATGCCACATGCAAAACTTTAACCCAAAATTTCTCATTAAAAAATAGTTACTTTTTGTCAAAATCCATGGTGAGGTTTAGGCCCTTGGATAGAAACTTCCTATTATAATCTCAAAGCCATGTGTGAAGTTACAAGCAAATATCTTTAGTAGTTAATGATATATATGATTTTGTACAAGAAATTAAAATAAGTGATACACAGACGATGACAATGTCGTTGATACATGGGTAGGTAGGAATGTCCCACTTTTCTTCTAATAGTCAAGGTACAAATATAAAACAAAACAAGAGGGCCATGATGGCCCTGAGTTGACCACCACAAACAACTGCTTCTCAGTAAAAGATAAAAGACTTCTTAAGAAGGCTACAGACTGAGTTTGGTAATCATCCATCAATTAGTTCTGTAGAAGCAGACATTTAAAGGTTTTTCTATTTTAGCTTTAGCGGCCCTTAAAAGGGGCCAATCAAATTAATATGAGCAAACTTGATAAAAGACTACCTAGGAATGCTACAGACAAATTTTGGTGATCATCCATCATTTAATTTAGTAGTAGAAGATGTTTAAAGCTTTTTCTATTTTTAGCTCTGTTGACCCCTAAAAGTGGCCAATTGAAATGGCATGAGCAACTTTAAGTGTGACTGTCACAAGGATGCTGCAGACCAAATTTGAGGTAAAGCTGTCCAGGAGTTTTAGAGAAGACGATGATTGTTGACACATGACGACGGACAACTTAGCACCCCCCCCTTTGATACTAATAACTCACCACAAACCTTCAATTCTGGTGACCTAACTAAGAGGAACTGAAAAGAACATACACATTTTCCAGGCCTAAGACATAACTATTTTATCAAATATTGATATCTGGTGCAGAAATTATAATGAACTTACTTGTTAAATCGACCTGCTCTGTCTTCATTATCAGCAAAGAGGAAAACTTTGAGAGCATAATTCTCCATGTGTGCTTGACCAACCACCTCATTGTGAATAGCCTCAGAATCAACTCCAGTCTTTACCTGAATTTATAATCATACAATGATAAAATATTAACAAGAGCACATCAGAGTGTTAACGCTCATCTGTTAATAACAAGTTTTCATAAATATTCTAAGTTAACATATTGATTTCAGATTTATGCCCCTTGTCTAACAACTCCAAGTTTCATGTATATACCTTAAAGATTGTATAAGAATAAGTCCCAACATTAATACACAACTATGACAATAAATGTTCATAATAGCTAATAGCTTGACTTTTTCATCGAAACAGAAAAGCTAAAATGGTAAGGTTTATTTCAGATCATAGAATAAAAATTCTTAACCTTTTCCAGATAATCCATCAAAGCAACATGAAAAGCTCGGCATTCTGGTGATTTCTTGTCAATCTCCATTCCATTTTGAAGTGCAAATAATCTACCTGATTTATTTTTAAAGAAAACATATATATAAATTCTATCATAATGTTTTGACTTTTAAGGCACGAATATGAATTTTAAGTAAAAAGGGATTTCCTCCAACATTACAGTGATTTTCCTACTTAACAGACTAAAAAAAAAGAAGCTCTTTCGAAATTGAAATTTTCTTAAAAATGCAGCGGCACAAAATACCCAAATGCACCCAAATATAGCAATATTTATTTTTGTTTGTATAAAATATAGATTATAATGAGAAATAAATAAATATTTATTAAATATAATATGACTTAGCCTGCTATGATTTTCATTCATTCCGTTGAAATTGACAGTTACGATGTTGTAAGAAAATAAAGTTGTGACATTTGCTTATCTTAGTACTACAGAGGTTCTTTATGAATGTACTTGCAATTTTAAATCAAGATTTGATATTTTGTTGTCTACACTTACATTTTTAAGGTGTAATTTTGTTGAAATTTCATATCATATACAAGTGTCCATGTTATTTAAAAAAAATAGCTTTAATGGTGTACATATAGACTGTATTTTGGTTCAAAACACAATGATAGGGAAATGTATATTTGGGTATGGTTGATTATATCTTAGTGAAAAGGTATATTGTATTCATGATAAAAACAGCACTTTTTTAGGATAAAACATTTATTTTTAGTATAATTGGGCAATATTTGGGTATATTTAGGCAATATTTGGGTATATTTAGGCAATATTTGGGTATATTTGGGCAATATTTGGGTATATTTGGGTATATTTGGGTATTTCGTGCTGCCCTTAAAAATGTTGCAGTTTTCCCAAAAAATCTGAACTTTAACCAGCTTTTTACTTCCCAAATCAGAAATTTTAGTGATAATTTGACCCAAAATCAAGAGGCTAACTTCACTCATGGACTCTTCCCAATTAAGTGAGAAACATAACTGAACAACACCAATTTAATTCAATTCATTTATCAATGCGCATACAGGTATAATGCATCCTATACAACCATTATATTAACGAACGTAAAGTAAACAGAGGTTTTATGCTGAATTTGGCGAAAATACCAAGAATACCTGCAGGATGATTTCAGGCTCTGACGGATCATGTTGGGGCTGAAACGTGCTGTTTGCTTAAACGGACACTTTTTGAAATTTTTTAATAAGTTTAACTTCTTAAACATAAATAGCCTAATAGGGTTCTTATCCAGATTGCCCTTAAAAAAACAGGAATAAGTCCAGTTCGAATGCTAAGTTCGAACTAAAATGCTGTATACAGAGCAACAGATAAGCTTTAAAAGTGAATTGGGTATTACTCCATCATTTCCTTTGGAATTGGGTATTGGCTCCATTTAATTGGGTATTCCAAAACTCGATACCCTATGATTTCAAGATCAATTGGGTATTCAATTATGAAGATATGAATTTTATGGTTTCAATATCAATAAAATTGAAACGGTTTTAAAAAGAAAATAGGATTAACAATTAACTAGAACTTTTCACATTTGTTTTATTTTTTATATAAAATGCTCATGTTATATTTCATAATATTTTTAACAAGTTGGTTTTCTGACTGATTTTTGATTATTTACGACAGTTTTATTTCAAATCATTTTCCGTTATGTACGACGCCATAGGCATATTGCCTTTAAAGCGTCTATTGATACAGCTGAGACCTACTTATTGACGGTCTCCGCAAAACCAACGGTGCCTGCCGGTCTGTTAAGACCGTCGATCTGAGTAGACAAATTGACCGTCTCATGCTTTATTGATATGGCTTAGTCGGTCTTTGGAGACCGGGGATCGTCGAAGACCGGAGACCGTTGATTAGTTAGCATTGATTCGGGAATATTCGTATAGTATGCATATCAATATAATCTTTTTCAAAACTACGAGCGAAAGAAAGATTAATTTTGCGGTGATGAAAATGACTGTACGCACGGGTTTTTAAGACAATTGCGTTTTTTATTTTTTTCAATGGGTTTTGATACGCATTCAAAAATCAATTGCCTATTTCATAAAATTAATTGCGTAAATATGAAAATACACACCTTATCTGTTGCTCTGTGTATATCTAAAAGCTAATTTTGTTAAGGTGATTAAGATAAATTATGACTAATTCTCACATTATATCCGAAATTTAGTTTATCCGAATAAGTTTAGTCTTTATAAAATGTAGCGAATATTTTAGGGAAATGAAACTTACAGTAATACGCCACCACTGGATCTCTTTTATCATGTTCCGTAGCAGTCTTTAAATAGTGCTGGATTGCTTTTAATTGTGGTGGAAGCGGTGGTAACGACATTTTGCAACAATTTGTCACTTTTTCTTTGGAGATTGTCTAAATTCCAGTATTTACATTCCCGTACGGATCCGTACATGTTAAGATTGAACACCACTAAATATTTTCATATTTATTTATAGATATTTTTAATATAAATATTCAAACAGATAAATGTTAAAGTATTATAGAATATTATACAATAGGAATAATTTTTGTACAAAAATATAATACATATTTACCATATATTAAATATAATATAACTTTTTTATTAGGAACTGAAAAAAAAATAAAGATATTAATGCAGTATCCATGTATGTAGATTCTACATAGTTTTTAAATTTCCTTTGTACACTGCAATGTGTTCAAGTTTATTTCAAGATGCAGTTTTTTTCTATTATTTAACACTTTATGATTCTTAGTAAAAAAAACAATTGATCTGAATTCCTGATATTTATTTTGCGAAAAGAAATCGTTCTTAAGTACCAGTAATGGGCACTATAAGGAACTGTAAAATTGACATCATTGGACAGTTAAATGCATTAAAAGATACCTGTATGCAAAATTTAAACAAAATTTACCGTATGGTTCATGAGTTATTGGCATTTTTCTGAACTAAAATTTGGCTATTAGAACGGCTCTTTCAGAAAGGAGGAAACTCGAAATAACCAATAATGTCATCATAATGAAACATTTTTTCCTATTAATCATTGTTAAGGAACAAATAATAGCATTCAGATAACAAATCACACAAGCAAAATGATTTTTTATAAACAAAATGTTTTTTTTTAAATATTTATAAAAATGTTACCCTACTCCACCCATTTTAAACAATCATTTGACCATTTCCCTATTTAAAAAGCCTTATTCAAAATATCATTAAATTTTACCACAATGAGGGACTGTTTTCAAAGTTTGCCTCAGTTACTTAACAGATTATTGGTTGATCTTGAGAACTATAAAATAATTTTACCGTGTAATTTTTACTTTATTAGACTTTGAAAATATCTGGTATCATATTTCCAATTAAATTTGGCATTATTTAGCCAATAAATACTAATAAATAACAATTCTATAATTGAAATCAGACACTTTTTTTCTTTCCATTAAGGGTCTGAGAGATACATAGGCCTTATATTACGAATAAACACATTGTCACATTGTCATAAATATTGTTATAAAGAAAAAAAAGAAAGAAAAAATGTTACCCCTTCTAAGGTTTGAACCCACGCCCCTCAGTTTCAATGCAGTTTCAGCTTTTATCAAACCAAGCTATATGCTATGCATCTGCTTATAAATAACAAACAAACGAACAGAAAAATAACAGTAAAAATCACTAATATCACAATAAAAGAATATAATTATGACTAACTATGACTAGCTAAGAAAACAAGAAAAGGCGATCATGTTGTTCATTTCAACTACTGAATTCAATACAACATGTATCAAATGGAATCGGAGAATAAGAAGTATTAATCATCTAAATTTGAAAATAATGTTTTTACAAAATAAAGATAATTTTAGCAGATTTTTTATCACAACTATTCATCAATCTGTCGATCAAGTTTAAAAATATTGGGATGAATATAAGAACTGGGAAAAGAGATTTACGTCTTATGTCATTAATGTACGAACATACAAATAAGTAGTGAAATTCATTACCAATACCTTGATAGGGACATAAGGAACATAGCCTATTATTATGATCAATTGCCAAATGTCTGCCTTTTTTCAATAGGTAATAGGTGATTCATTGTTCTAAATTTACAATATTTGCCTATGTCAAATGGAAGTACATCTAGATATTTTTCAAAACAACGAGTATTTTTATATGTACGAGACACTTAGCAATTAGAAGATGTATCAATAATACTATGCTAATCTTGTACCAAATGATCATGTAGTCTAAGCTTCACAATAGTTTTAAACTGATTAATATAATATACTTTCTGTAAATGAAAATATTCTGACATACCAAGATTACTGAGCGTTTCTTTAAAAAAAATATCCATTTAGAATTAACAATATTCCAAGAGGACAAAGACAACATTGTTTTATACAGAAATTTATATTACATGATATCTTTTTTTTCTCTAGCATTAATATTTTACTCCTGAAACACAAAACTTTTGCTTTCACTTGTAAGACTAATGACATTATGTCTAATTCACCATAAACAGTTGACAGTTATTCTAGCCTAGCCTATTTGGAAACTCTTCAATGCGGAGGCTATGCATTAGGGGTATACTACCTTAAATAAAAGATGAAAACATACTTAAATAGTTCCTTTTCTTAAACCTCAACTGGCTAACACCTGAAGTTCTTAATTTAGTTTTGACTTGTATTTATCACTTTTTAGTTACATTAATTGTATCGGGACTACTCTATTTCTAGATTTAATGTAATTAATCAAAATTTATCTGTTTAATGTCGTCCATATTTAAAAGATATGCATTGAAGTGATTTGGAATGAGTGCATTTTGTCCAAATGAAGTTAATTCATTATCAAAGTTGTAGACTTAACTTGCCAAAATTTACTATCCGGCTTCCCAAACCAATCTCATGCTTATTTGTCAGTTTAATCCAGTGTAAGGTCAAATGATTTTCAGAAAAATATCAAAATTCGAAGACGAAATTTACTCATCCTAGTATATCATCTGTTTAGACTACTATAATTTAACCTATCAAATGTCTTTGACGTTTGAAAACTATCAAAAAATGATCTGTCCTGAAATCATAAAAGTAATGTATGTAAGTTAGTAGGTAAGCAGATAAATAAATAAATAAATAAATAAATAAAATAAATAAATAAATAAATAAATAAATAAATAATATTAAATAAATAAATAAATAAATAAATAAAAATAAATAAATAATAATAAATAAGTAAATAAATAAATAAATAGATAATAAATAAATAAATAAAAATCAATAAATAAATAAATTAATAAATAAATAAATAAATAAATAAATAAATAAATAAATAAATAAATAAATAAATAAATAAAAATAAATAAATAAATAAATAAATAATGCGAATGATTACATGCAAGTCCAACGACAAACCAAAATATCGTTATCTTCTTTTCATTATATATAACCAAGCCAAGAATGGGGAATAGGAAGTCTAATTTTTAAAGTTTTTGAAGGGCATGTTCGACGTAGAAGCTTCGATTAATTTAATATGTTTGAATTTCAAATCTCGCGTTTACTTCCTAGTGTCTAAAAAAACTGATTATATCTTTTATATAAATCAGGTGAAGACAATGATAAGCTTATCAACTGATAACACCACTTAAAGATAAGCTATGGAAACATTATTTACTCAGAGCTTCACTGACTGAATTTGTTTCATTTTTCATTTCACAGCATTGATTTCAATTTTGAAAACATCCTGTTGGTATTGGTAAGCTTTTAACAAGTCACCTCTATAGTTTATTTCTGTCTTTCTACCAAATTACTCATCTAGTATTTATTATCTTTTAAAAAATAGGACAAGGAGATCCCTTGAGATCAATTCAATCTAAATATTGAAGTTCCACACCCATTTTTTATGGAGTCTTTGAGAGAAGTCATACCCCAAATATAATATTGATACCGAATACCATATATAATATATGTATTTCTTAAACATTCATTTGTTTTAGAACTGCTAAATGATAACATGATGAAAATCTTAATTTTGAATTTGAATAAAATGTCATATCATTGTCAGGCAAATCTTAGCCTTCTAGTAGGCGACTGCATCTACCAGTGCGAACAGTGCATTCCAAGACCAGGCGGCGAAGATCATCGTCTTAATTCTCCGATCAGCATTGTTCTAAAATTTCCCCTCAAATTGATGAATGATTAATCTTGATGAAAATTGATACATCCAAATTGAAAGAGGTATACGTTTTTTTTTTAAAAATATTTAGCATTTTTAGGGTTGAATGCATTAAAAAACTATTACACCGTGTATATGCCAGTATAACGCAGGAATGTGCAAATAACGCAGAAAATTGTGCAAATCTTTAACGCAGAATCGTCAATTTAGTGCACCCAACCAGCCAACTATGAATTCTCTGAATAATTTTTATGACGAAACAACGGAAAAAATTTTCAGAAAATAGTGACCTATCCAATTAATAGTGCCTGTGATAGTGCGAAACCACCTGTATGACATTTTGATGATGTTTTCCATTTTTAAGATCATTCGTGAAAATGACGACCTGATTAGAATATGATGGGCCAATTTTAAGTTTCGTTAATAATATTCTTTTAATGCAGTAATTAACGACATATTACTTTATAATTTTTATATTCAATATACCTGAGACATTTTTCAATCTACTCGTTTTATATTACGCTTTAATTTAGCAGATAGAACGTAAAAGACCATTTTCAAGGTAACGCCGCGAATTCGTGAAATGAATCACTGAAGCAACGGTGGTTATCTCATTAAAAGTTAGCTAACTCCAATCTTTATCAGCTGCCTTTTTGTTGTACGACACTTGTAGTTTGACAAATGCCTTAGGTAAACAGAATATGAAAAAATAAAAGTTTTTAGATATGTTAAATGTTACATATTTATTTGACGAAACTACAAGAGTCACCTCAAAACCCTAATTAGTTTTCTTTTTCACGAATGATCTAAAGAAGTGAACACAATCCTGAAAAAAAATTGTAATGCTGGCCAAAGTTTAATGTCGTATCAGTCTTATGCGCTAATTCATTTCTTTAAATTTAATTTTAAAATAAAAAAAAGATTTTTTGGTTGCTTGCTTACTGTGTTATCCGTTTTGGCAATGGCGTTTTGCACAGATTCGGCGTTACTTTTACGATTATTGCATATTCCTTCGTTACTGGATATGCACGGTGAATTAAGGATGAGTGTGTAGTCACGATTCAAGAGTTTATATTGTGTCAAGAGTTATTAAAAAAAAAAAATAAGTTTTAAGTTGTAAACAAAAAAACTAGAAAATAAATCATTTAAGAATTGAATTAAACTATTTATTTTCGTCAAGTAATTTTATCATGGTTAGTTTTATGTCAGGAATTATGTGAAAATTCAGATTGCTTCAAGTCATCAAACAGTGGTTGCTTATGGATAAAACT